TTTGAGATTGTCTACAGCTGCATTGGCAATTCTGGGACCTGTGTAATTTCCTATTTGTTGTCACGTCCATTTCCTGTCAGACAGCAGGACTTCCTGTCATCTGTCAGGAATGGAGTGTAAGGCATCCATTGCACAGGAAGGTCAGATGAACTAACTTCCTTTTAAACCTTGTGTCCTTCACTGTCTAAAATTAAAAGTTAAAGGGATAGTTCATTCAAAAAAAAAAAAGAATTTAAAATTGTCAGCATTTACTCAACCTCATGTTGTTCAGAACTCTTATGTAGAACAAAAAAATGTTTCATGTCTGATTTGTGAACAGGTGATTCTTTTGAATTGGATCTTGTCAGTGAATCATTTAATCTCAAAACCGGTTTGAATGATTGATTTGTGTATCAGACTCTGGTTCTAAAGTTCAACTTACTGACTCAACTAAATTTTCACCAGTGCTATTGTATATTTTCAAAACACTTTGAATATAGTTGTATGGACTACCTTTATAATATTTGATGGTATTTTTGCATCTTTTTTTTTTTAAAGCTTGAATGCTCTGGTCCCCATTCATTGAAATTGGAAGGGGAAAAAAAATCTCTTTTTGTGTTCCACAGAAGAACCCAGAATTAATCTTGGTTTTGTAACAGCATGACATCGAGCAAACTAAATTGCCATTTTTGGTAAACTTTTCCTTTAAACTCTCATGTTTATAAACCATGGAATCGTTACTCTTTCTTTCTCTTTCGCCCAAAGCGAAAAGTGACGGCTGATCTTAGGCCTTCTGTTTGAGCTCAGAGATCCAGCTGAATGCAAGAACTCATAATCATATCATAAAATGAGACTCCCTTTGCCCTCAAGGTGTTTTTCATTTCCTCAAATGAGAGAAACAACATATTAAAGAGGATAGGAGAGGAGAGAAGAAAGGAGGAGAGGAGACGGGATCCATCAGGGTTAGTATGTGGCGTGTGTGAGTCATGAGATGTGGAGCTCATTTCCTGTCTCTTATACTGAACATCCACCCTGAACCCGCAGACAATGGAGTCACACAAACCAATAACCCACACACAATGAGCTCAGGAACACTTTCTCTGAATCAGCTTTGTCCTGTCATGGGGGAATAGGATTTTCCTGCGTTTCTGGACTGATGACGGTCTACTTCTGTCATTCTCATTCTTCAATATTCTGCTATAAATGTGGTTTTGGGAAAAAAAATACTTCTCAAATTGCATCGAGATATTTCACGTAGAGCTACGGTCAGATATGTATTAGATTAATATTGGAGTGATGGTTTATGCATGAGTTTCAGCTGACGCAAAAGAAAAATAGCTATAGGCTTTGAGGAATAATTTATGCCTTTCTTTCCTCTGTGGAACACAAAAGAAGAACGTTAGGCAGAATGTTCACGCTCCTCTTTTTTACAACAATGAAAAGCATATAGCAGCCAGTGGCTGTCAAGCTGCATAATGGTCAAATAAGCGGCATAAAAATAGTAAAAACAGTATGGAATGGTTTCGAATTTAGCAGCATTAGTTCACCAGATCTCAACCAAAATGCAGTGAGATTACTGAAGTTTCTAAAATAAAGATATGTTGAATGATTTCATCAGAAGGTTCCCATTAAATGTGCTTTCTTATGTTATCTGTAGACATTAGTTTGAAAACAACCCTTAATACACCTCTCAAATTCATAATACACCTCCCAAAAAGATCCATTTTCAAACTGTTTAGATTTCACTGACTCTTTATGAGTCTGTAGGGGGATTTGGGGACTCAAAAATACTGTGGAAGTTTTCATATACACTGTCATTGGCACTGCCACTTCATAAGCAAGTGCACTTCATTAAGGGTTTGTAGCTATGCATGTGGTTTTACAGTAATATTGTACTGTTCTCTGTCTTCAAGTATTTACTTATTGTTTTACCATTTGCAGTAGACACCTGCGTAGTGCAAAACTATTGAATGCTTCAGGGATGATGTATTTTTCAAAGGCCAAAATCCAAATGAGTTAGCATTTCTAGTTCCATCTTCCTGAAGTCACTGGGTTTTATGAATGGGTTTTTGCAAGAAATATGGTCTGTGGAGAACACAAGCTCAAAATATTCTCATGTTTTATACTACAACATAAATACACCCCCTTGTGATTTTTTGAAAGGTTTTACTTTCTGGAAAAAGGCAGTTGCTACAAATTGCTAATTACAGAGGTTGTCAGGTTTGTTAAAAGTCATCACACCAAAAAGGTAAACTCATCTACTCACTAGTCTGCATTTACAGCCTCATTGTGTTGATAATTATGCTCTTGTGAACTTTGATTACTCAAATGCTTTTAAATCAAGACAGAAAGAGTTGTTGGAAGCTTAAAGGGATAGTTTTCCCAAAAGTACCATGCATGGTACTCTTGTGAACGCAGCGTCAAAGGCTGAGACGGAAGAGAAGAAATTGTTGAATTAAGTCATTATTTTTGTTTTCTTTGCACACAGAAAGTATTGTCATAGCTTCATAATATTATGGTTGAACCACTGATGTCACATGGACTATTTTAACGATGACCTTACTACCTTTCTGGGCCGTGAATGTGGTAGTTTCATTGCTGTCTATGCAGGGTCAGAAAGCTCTCGGATTTTGTCAAAAATATCTTAATTTCTGTTTCGAAAATGAACGAAGGTCGGACGGGTTTGGAACGACATTAGGGTGAGTAGTTAAAGGGGTCATATGATGTTGCTAAAAATAACATTATTTTGTGTATTTGGTGTAATGAAATGTGTTTATGCAGTTTAAGGTTCAAAAAAGGCGGCGGCAACAACAATACTACAGTGAGACTAAACGTTACGCCTTCTTTTTTTTGTGTGAACATTTGGGCGGCGTTATGCAAATCTTCCCACATCGTGACATAGACATGTGGGGGCGTGTTAGAACGAGCCGTTTTATGTAGGCGTGGTTGACTCTTAACTTTTATAAATAATATCTCTTTGGATTTGAGACTTTAGTCTTTGCAACTTTACAGATCTTCTTTATGCACCAAGAGCTTATAACACTCCAAAGAGAAAGGAAAACTTGAAATCGCATCATATGACCCCTTTAATGACAGAATTTTAATTGTTGGGTGATTGATGATGGCGACACTGAAATTGATGTGGTGTAGTTTGTTCATAGCCTATGTTTATATGTTTAGCATTTTACTTTTGGCTTCAAAATTTATTACAGTTCATTTGTAAAGAATGTACAGTTAATTTGTCCATTGTTATGATGAAAACATGCAAGAATGATAAACTTTTTGTTGGTTACATTCACAAAAGAAAATTTAAATGTAAAAAGAAATGTACAGCTTAATGTATCACTTTTACATATTCATTTGTAAATGATGTTCATATGTTCATAGTTTCTGCTTATAGTGTACATACACTTATTACATAATCCATATGTATAGTATGTTCATAGTATACCTATCTGTATATCATGCTGATAGTATTTAAAAATCTGTAAATGATGTCCATAGTACTGCCTTATGTGTATATTTATTGTACATTTGTAACATATTGTAGACACTGTATATCCTGTACTTACTGCTTATTGCACTTCTGGTTAGATGCTAACTGCATTTCGTTGCCTTGTACCTTACATGTGCAATGACAATAAAGTTGAATCTAATCTAATCTAATCGAAAAATGTACTACATATGTATATACTGTACAAATTAAGAGGTTGGTCCTGCTTAGTGGCCCCTGAGTGTCACGATCTCTAGCTGGAGTGCCCGTGAGCTTCGCTAGAGGGCACGCCATTCCAGACTCTTGCCACTTCACCCCGGACTCCATTTCCCATAATCCTTTGCCCGGACTCATCATCAATTGCAATCACCTGTCTCTCATCACCTCATCAGTCTCACACTATAAGAACAGCACACACACATGCTCATATCGCTGGTGATTGAATGTTTAGCCCTTCCGTGTTTCCTAGTTTCCACGTTCCTAAGTTTTGCCTTTCTCGTGTTTTGTTCCTTGGACTGTTACCTTGTTTTTGATTGACTGCTGACTGCCCTGATCATTGCCTGTCTTGCTGGGTTACTCTTTTTGTCTGTGCCTTGGATGTTATTGTTTGCTGGTATCTGACCCTGCCTGTCCTGACTACGCTCTTTTTAATAAAGCCTGCTATTGGATCCCCACTTCGTTGTCACGACGCCTCTATCATTACACTGAGATTGAGTGGAGAGGTATGAAAATGTCACTTGTGGGCGAGGTTAAGATGTTGTGACGTCTCATCGAGACAAACTGAACTTTCTGACTACACAGATATGACCCTGGACCACAAAACCAGTCATAAGTAGCAGCACGGGTATATTTGTAGCAATAGCCAAAAATACAAATGGGTCAAAATGATCGATTTTTCTTTTATGCCAAAAATCATATAAAGATGATTTTGTAAATTCTCTACCATAAATATCAAAATTTTTTTTTTTTTATTAGTAATATGCATTGACAAGGACTTCATTTGGACAGCTTTAAAGGCAATTTTCTCAATATTTAGATTTTTTTTTTGCACTCTCAGATTCCAGATTTTCCAATAGTTGTATCGCGACCAAGTATTGTCCTACTGTCCTAACAAACCATACATCAATGGAAAGCTTATTTATTCAGCTTTCAGATGATGTAAAATCTCAATAAAAAAAATTGACCTTTATGACAGGTTTTGTGGTCCAGGGTCACATGCACAGTTTATGCAAAACTGGGGCTGTATTAATACATTGAATGCTTTACTTTCACTAGCACGTATTTTGTATTAATTGTCAAAAAATATTCTAAATGAAATACCGCAAGTCTCTCCTTATAATGAGATGCATTTCCCATTTCAAACTACAGTTTGCCTCCAAATGTAATACGCTTTTCATTTTAATCACGATTATTAATGTTCTTCAAATCTCAGAAGAAGAAAAACACAGCAAAACTGTCTGGAAGCAAAGCGCGTTTCCGACATTCCAACACCAAGTGCGCGTCCACAGCACCCTGCCCTCTGCGCGTCCCCGTGCAGCAGGGCTCGCGCCGTTAACGGAGCGGCGGATCGCGGACGTGTGATCACGCGTTTGTTTCTCCCGATCAAAATATCCACCAGAGCCCACGTTCAGTTTAACGACAGTTCGGCGATATCTGGATTACGATGGCTCACGCGGGTTCGTGAGGAGAGCGTTGTCGTTCGCGGAAGGTAAGAGCAGAAAGTTCGTACGGAGTTTCACAGAAAGATCCACGCGGCGCTCCGCGAGACGCGTCAGCGCGTGCGAATGGCGCATATAAACTAGCGAGACGCGTGACGGCGACGCGCAGCTGTGATTTTCAAAACACTTTAGTGTCAGTTTAAGGAGTTAAACATTTGAGAAGGGCCGTTAAACGTTTGTGCTGTGGTGGTTAAACTGAATCAGAACGCGTTTATGTCTGCTTGTGGTGCGTAACCGCTTCTGGAGTAACGTTAATTATTCTGTGGAAAGGATCAAGTGTCATTTATGCCAAATCATTCGGTGAAGAGATAAAGTGTTATTTTCTCTGGAAAGTCCGTGAAGGAAAACCTGAGTAACGTTAGATCTGACGCCGGTTCAGGAGAATTCCTCAGTGTTTCTGTCAGGATGCTGTTGTGTGTGATCAGTTTTCATATCAGCTTTCACTTCAGTAAATGTAAAGAAAATATATTTAAAAAATGGGACACCGTATCTTCTCAGCTGTCATTAATATGGATCGGATGATTTGGCTTTTTTATATTCACTGCCAAATAGTTTGTAAAGAATAATATCAATTCGAGCTCACAAATTATGCATGTATAATTTAAATGTTGTGTTATTAATACCATACACACATAATGTCATTTTTCACTGCTTATGACAGATGATAAACAGGAATTGCAGTATTGGTATCCAGAGGGCACAGGCAGTGAAAAGGCAGTGAGCCTTGAGAGGCTTGAATCATGGGTGTCATTATTAAGTTATTGTTATGTGCATATTTTCAGAGTAAATGTTGTGTAAAATATTTAGTTTATTTTTAGCACTTTTTTGTACTTGTTTAATATTTATAAATTGTATTATATTGTAACATATTATGGGCAACCTTGGTTATCAGATATTTTTGCTTAGCAAGTTACCAAAGATTTAAAGGAATACTTCACCCTAAAATGAAAATTTGCTAAAGTTTTACTCACCCCCAGGCCATTCAAGATGTAGATGAGGGTGTTTCTTCATCAGAACAGATTTGGCGAAATGTAGCTTTACATCACTTGTTCACCAATGAATCCTCTCCAGTGAATGGGAGCCATCAGAATGAGAGTCCAAACAGCTGATAAAAACAACACAATAATCCACAAGTAATCCACACGACTCCAGTCCATCAATTGACATCTTGTGAAGCAAAAAGCTGCATGTTTGTAATACACAAATCCATCAAGCATTTAAACTTTAAACTGTCACTTTTGGCAAAAATCCCAGTCTGTAATCCATAATAACACTTCGTTCAGTGAAAAAGACCATCCTCTGTTGTCCTCTTGAATCAAAATCCACCAACATATTTGTATAGAACTGTTTTCGCTTGTAAACGGTGCTTGATCTGTTCATATTTCTCTCCTGATTCAGACGAGATGATTTTTCATTGGAGAAAGCAATAAATGCATAGAGAACTTGTATTTTATCTGACAGCAACAGTTTGAAGTTAAAACTGTCTTGATGGATTTGTTTATTACAAAGATGCAGCTTGAGGATTTCTAGTATTATTGTGATGTTTTTACTGTGTTTGGACTTGTGTTTCGACATTCTGACGGCACCCATTCACTGCAGAGGATCCATTGGTGAGCAGGTGATGTAATGCTAAATTTCTGCCAATCTGATGAGGAAACAAACTCATCTACATCTTGAATGGCCTGAGGGTGAGTAGATTTTAAAGGGATAGTTCACCCAAAAATGAAAATTCTGTCATTAAATGATGACAGAATTTTCATTTTTGGGTGAACTATCCCTTTAACAATCTCTTTAGTAGTTTAATGGAAACTGTGGTTACCATGGTGAATTTTTGTGAGGTGGTTGCAGAGCTTGTAGAAACATCAGGTTAAGAAGACTAGAGTCGATCCACAGGCTTTAAGTGGAGTTTTGTGTTTTGGTGAATAGTTGTGAGTTGGTTAGGGAAGGATTTGAGCTCTAGGAAACAGGTGTGATGGGCACCCTGGGGAGGTGTGTGTGTGTGTGTGTGTGTGTGTGAGATTATGTTCACATTGAGGACACTGAATCAGATCAGGACCTGATTGAGAACAGGGTGTTGAGCAAAGATCAGATTGGATTAACCAGACACAGTCATCCCTTCATCTCAACGCCAGCTAATTTAACCCAACCCGTTAGAGACGTTCACACTGATAGCGACAAAACAGTGTTGTTGAATGGAAGTGGATTCGATGGACAAGAACAAATACCTACTAGAAACAAACAACAAAGTGACCAGACAATCTCCGGTGATTTAATCGCTGTCAGTTTGATGTGTGAGAGTCATAACAGAAATGCAAATCAAACATATCAGTGCTATAATGTAATTCAAACACATGCATTAACACAAACACAAACAAAACACGAGCACACGCATACCTGTTGCAGTTGCGTGTGAAAATGGCATTAGTGCATTTGTAAAATAACAGGTGGTGTTTGTGACACATTTGATGACAAAAAAGGTGTTCGTTGTGCGGAGAGTCTGTAGCTGGCGTGAGTCGGATGGACAGACAGAGTTATGGGAGCATTTTGCCTCAGGTGTTTGGTATGAGACACACATAATCTCTAGTTTCAGCCAGACAGTTTAAATATACACCTCTACTAGCCCTGTGCCCAAACACTCCCAGCGCAGTTTGACACTCTCGCAAGTTCAAGTTCAATGAAGCTTTATTGCGCAGAGAGCAGGATTTCATTTGTGCACATTAGCTCTTTCGCTTTACAGAAGTCAATAGCTGTTCGCTGATGTGATGCTGGTAGTAATAATATTTAGTGCCTTGTCATAAATCAAAGGATAATAGGGATGAGCAAGACTATATATTTTCAGAATAAACAAGTCACTGGATTGCCTGAACATCTGGTCAACAGATCGGTATTAAAAGGATAGTTCACCCAAAAATGAAAAATCTGTCTTTATTTACAAACCCATGAGACTTCTATTCATCTTCAGAACTCAAATGAAGATCTCTCTGGTTTCATTCAAAATATCTTCATTTGTGTTTCAAAAATGGTCATACAGGTTTGGAGTGATATGAGGGGTACTATATATTAGTGCTTGGTAGTATACCGGTTCATACCGAATACCGGTGTTTATTTTTGTTATGATATTAATTTTTAAAATACCGCAATACCGGTGTACGTCGCTTAAACAACGTTCGGAACACGACACTGTTTGAAAAGGGTCCCTTTTCACTGTTGCACTGTCGTGAGGGAACAGCTGTATGTGTTACTAAGCGTGAAAGTTCCGAAACTGAAGCTGTAGAACTAATGATATACATTTTTGGTCATACCGCCCAGCACTACTATATATATATACTTTATATGTAATTTATTGATATGTTATTACTTATATTAATTTTAGTATTACGTTTTTGCAACTGATTATCATATTAACATAAGTTGTTGTTGTTGTTTTGCACATAAGAGTCTTCATATTTCACAGAAAGAGAGAGGCTGAATCCCAATTCTCATACTATTCCACCTGTGTAGTAAGCAAGATTAGGATTATTGTGTATTCTTAATAAAACCACTATGTCAAAGTTAATGTCATCTATAGTGTCGTCTATATCTCTATAAATCTAGTCAGGATAGATGCCATATTGAATTTAACACAGATGAAACCAAAGTTGTGAGGGACAGTCTTTGCAATGGCACACACACACACACTGCATTAAAGGCCTAGAGTTTTCACAACTCTCAACTGTTTTATGGAGTTTTTGTCTGCTTTTTGGAAAGACTTTTCGTCAGCTGAACAAACGGTATGTTGTTAAACGACAGTAAAATCGATTGAACGCACTGTACTTCTATCCCTCACAACCTTGTTTTTCTTCCTGTCAAAAATTAAAGCAGTAGTTCACTTACAGAATGAAAATTTCCTGATAATTTACTCACCCCCATGTCATCCAAGATGTTCATGTCTTTCTTTATTCAGTGGAAAAGAAATTAAGGTTTTTGAGGAAAACATTCCAGGATTTTTCTCCATAAAATAGACTTCAATGGTGGTCCAAATTGCAGTTTCAATGCAGCTTCAAAGGGCTCTACACAGTCCCAGCCCAGGAATAAGGGTCTTATCTAGCGAAACGATCGGGCATTTTATAAGAAAAATACAAATTTATATACTTTTTAACCACAAATGCTCGTCTTGCACTAGCTCGACTTCACGCATTGCGTAATCACATTAGAAAGGTCACATGTGACGTAGTCGGAAATACCGACCCAGTGTTTACAAAGTGAACACGCAAAAAGAAAGTCAAGCGCCCTTTACAAAAAAAAGCTAAATTATGTCGGATGATTTTGAAGTTGGAGGAGAAAATGAGATGGACTTTTTCGCTCTACCGTACCTTTTTGAACCAAACTACACAGACGAAGAACTAACCATGCGTGACTTTTCCAACATGATAAAGCAGTGCGTGAAGACGCGCATCGCAGAGCTAGTGCAAGATGAGCATTTGTTGTTAAAAATTATATACATTTTTATTTTTCTTATAAAATGCCTGATTGTTTCGCTAGATAAGACCCTTATTCCTGGGCTGGGATCATGTAGAGCCCTTTGAAACTGTATTGAAACTGCAATTTGGACCTTCAACCCGTTGGCCACCATTAAAGTCCATTATATGGTGAAATATCCTGAAATACTTCTTTTCAACTGAAGAAAGAAAGACATGAACATCTTGGATGACATGGGGGTGAGTAAATCATCAGGAAATTTTCATTCTGGAAGTGACCTACTCCTTTAAATATGGTGCTACCCTGATTAAAGTCTACAGAGTCTTTCCCAAACAAACAGCCAGTCATGTAAATTGACAGCTTTGGTTTTGATGTAGTTCTTTGGGTGCACATCTAAGCAATGGCGTTTCCTGTTAAATGTCAATCTAAAATGGGTAGATGAGCAAAAATACCCACGACTGTTTTAAAAAAAAAAGTACACACATTTAGCTTGTAACAGGGATTAATTTCATCCTGTGGATGCATGACTCCA